GTGTGTGTGTGTGTGTGTGTGTGTGTGTGTGTGTGTGTGTGTGTGTGTGTGTGTGTGTGTGTGTGTGTGTGTGTGTGTGTGTGTGTGTGTGTGTGTGTGTGTGTGTGTGTGTGTGTGTGTGTGTGTGTGTTAGTGACGTGTCGAGGTGCAAGCACCCAGCCCGATTATCCAGCCAAGCAATCCCCTATAATGAGTGAAAGCATTGGATCCCGGTCATTGTCGTGCATAATTACTCCCCACAAAGGAAGGCAAACTGCGATGACGCCAGACCGGATGTGACGCGTAAAAACGCTGACATCATTGCTATTTTTAGCAAACACGTGACGACATCACACGGATATAGGCATCACGTGTCAACTAGACACACAAAGAGATCATCACAAGATACATAAAGTTTAACCCTAAATATAATAGGAGCTACTGCGTGAGCATTTCTATTTATTGAGTCATGTCTCTACACTGCTAAGCGTTTAGAATGCGAAAGAGAAAATGTGTTCTCGAATAAATGACTCACCGCACAAACTATTCTAACCTACTCTACAACATAGAACGTATGTTGAGGTAGACTTCCTGTAAGACATTTGCCGATACGCGTCCATAGTACCCTCAAGAGTAAATAAATATAAATGATGCGCATAAATACAACTAAAATAACACTAAAACACCAAAAAGCAGGCAAACAAACAAACAAACAATCGGGCGAACGAAGGAAGGGCTCAGCGAACGCACATACGCGTGTTCGTACGAAGGAACGATCGACCGAACAAACGAACGAAAATGCACACGATCCAACTAACATGGATCCGGAAAATGGCATCGCGAGGGCTGCTTTACAAAAGCAAAACTGCAGATTTTTATCTGCAGCATGAAAGGGTCCATGGCCCACGTACAGTCTACATGGCGTTCACGGGTTCTATTGTGAATTCCATGCTCGAACTCGCCGCGAAGTATAGAGTTGAATGACTGCCAATGAAGTACTTTATGCCGGATTTTATCCGAGTAATTTTGAAAATTTGCGAACTATTGTGGTAGAAATAGAGTTTCGCGTCGTACGGACAGACACGAGTACAGCCCGCAGAAACACGCTGTATTGTAGACTGGTAAACATTTCTGCATCCAATAACAACAGAAAGCTCAACGATATTGAGTCACAAGATTCGATCTTGAGACACTGACAAAGCGATATTCAGTTAAGATTCGATATTAAGTCACTGACGAAGCTATATTCAGTTATTAGTCGGTATTAATTAAGTCACTGATTCAGCTAAATTCAGTTAAGATTCGACATTGAGTCACTCATTAAGTTATATTCAGTTAAGAATCAATATTGAGTCATTGACTGAGCTATATTCAGTTTAGATTGGTATATAGCCTTTATATTGTGAGTATAGACAGACACGATAGCAAGACCGAATTCATACATACATATATATAC